TGCTGGTAATTCTTTTGCTTGTGTTTCCCAGTCTAGTACTCTTGGACAACGGGTTGTGGACTCAGCCGCTTCTGATCATATCTCTGGTAATAAATCACTTTTGTCAAATATTGCGTATTCACAGTCTCTTCCCACTGTTTAGCCAATGGGTCTCAAACCAAAGCAAAAGGAGTTGGACAAGCAAATCCCCTACCCTTTGTCACTCTAGATTCCGTTCTCTATGTCTCTGGCTGTCCTTTTAATCTTGCATTTGTAAGTCGTTTGACTCGTGCCCTCCATTGTGGTATATATTTTATTGATGACTCCTTTATTATGCAGGACCGCAGTACGGGGCAGACGATTGGAACAGGACTTGAATCAAAAGGCCTTTACTACCTTAACTCACTCAATTCCTCCAAGGCATGTCTAGTTACAGATCCTCCGGACCTTATTCACAGACGTTTAGGACATCCAAGCTTATCCAAGCTTCAGAAGATGGTGCCTAGTTTGTCTAGTTTATCTACATTAGAGTGTGAGTCGTGTCAGTTCGGGAAACATACCCGAGCCTCCTTTCCTCGTAGTATTGAGAGTCGTGCAGAGTCTGTTTTTTCTTTAGTTCATTCTGATATATGGGGTCCTAGTAGAGTCAGTTCAACCTTGGGATTTCGTTATTTTGTTAGTTTTATTGATGATCATTCAAGATGTACTTGGATTTTCTTAATGAAAGATCGTTCTGAGTTGTTTTCTATATTCCAGAATTTTTATGCTGAAATTAAAAATCAATTTGGTGTTTCTATTCGCACTTTTCGCAGTGATAATGCCTTAGAATATTTATCCTCTCAATTTCAGCAGTTTATGACTTCTCAAGGAATTATTCATCAGACCTCTTGTCCTTATACCCCTCAGCAAAATGGGGTTGCAGAGAGAAAGAATAGGCACATCATTGAGACTGCTCGCACACTTCTCATTGAATCTCATGTTCCGTTGCGTTTTTGGGGCGATACAGTTCTCACAGCTTGTTATTTAGTTAATCGGATGTCTTCCTCTCCCATCCAGAATCAGATACCTTATGCAGTATTGTTTCCCCAATCACCCTTATACTCTGTTCCCCCTCGTGCTTTTGGGAGCACTTGTTTCGTTCATAACTTAGCCCCTGGGAAAGATAAGTTAGCTCCTCGTGCTCTCAAGTGTGTCTTCCTTGGTTATTCTCGTGTTCAGAAGGGATATCGTTGTTACTCACCTGATCTTCGTAGGTACTTTATGTACTTTATGTCCTCTGACGTCACATTTTTTGAGTCTAAACCTTTCTTTACCTCTTCTGACCATTCTGACCACCTTGATATATCTGAGGTTTTACCTATACCGACCTTTAAGGAGTCTACTATAGCTCCTCCTTCACCTTCCGCCACAGAAGTCTTACCCAAGTCTACTAGAACTCCTCCTTCACCTTCCGCTACAGAAGTCTTACCCATTCCAACCGTTGAGGAGTCTAGTGTGGCTCCTCCTAGACTCCCTGTCACAGGAACACCACTCTTGACATATCATCGTCGTCCGCACCCAGCATCAGGCCCAGCTGATTCACGTCCTGCACCTGACCCTGCTCCTACTGCGGACTTGTCTCTTCCTAGTACACCGATTGCACTTCGGAAAGGTATACGGACCACCCTTAATCCTAATCCCCATTATGTCGGTTTGAGTTATCATCGTTTGTCATCACCCTATTATGCTTTTCTACCTTCTTTGTCCTCTGTTTCCATCCCGAAGTCTACAGGTGAAGCATTGTCTCATCCAGGATGGCGACAGGCTATGATTGACGAGATGTCTGCTTTACATACGAGTGGTACTTGGGAGCTCGTCCCTCTTCCTTCAGGTAAATCTACTATTGGTTGTCGTTGGGTGTATGCAGTCAAGGTTGGTCCGGATGGTAAGGTTGATCGTCTTAAGGCTCGTCTTGTTGCCAAGGGATATACTCAGATATTTGGGCTCGATTACAGTGATACCTTCTGTCCCGTGGCTAAGATAGCATCAGTCCGCCTTTTTCTATCCATGGCTGCTGTTCGCCATTGGCCCCTCTATCAGCTGGACATTAAGAATGCTTTTTTACACGGTGATCTTGAGGATGAAGTTTATATGGAGCAACCACCTGGGTTTGTTGCTCAGGGGGAGTCTCGTGGCCTTGTATGTCGCTTGCGCCGGTCACTTTATGGTCTAAAGCAGTCTCCTCGAGCCTGGTTTGGTAAGTTCAGCACAGTTATCCAGGAATTTGGCATGATTCGGAGTGAAGCTGATCACTCTGTATTCTATCGGCATTCTACTTCGAGTCTTTGTATTTATCTGGTGGTCTATGTTGACGACATTGTTATTACCGGCAATGACCAGGATGGTATTACTAAATTGAAGCAACATCTCTTTCATCACTTTCAGACTAAGGATCTGGCAAACTAAAGTATTTTCTGGGTATTGAGGTCGCTCAGTCTAGCTCAGGTATTGTGATCTCACAACGAAAGTATGCCTTAGATATTCTTGAGGAGACAGGAATGACAGGTTGTAGACCTGTTGACACTCCGATGGATCCGAATTCTAAACTTCTGCCAGGACAGGGGGAGCCTCTTAGCGATCCTGCAAGATATAGGCGGTTGGTTGGTAAATTAAATTACCTTACAGTGACAAGACCCGGCATTTCCTTTCCTGTAAGTGTTGTGAGTCAGTTTATGGATTCTCCGTGTGATAGTCATTGGGATGCAGTTGTTCTCATTCTTCGGTATATAAAATCAGCTCCAAGCAAAGGTTTATTGTTTGAGGATCGAAACCATGAGCATATCGTTGGATACTCATATGCTGATTGGGCAGTATCACCTTCTGATAGACGTTCTACTTCTGGATATTGTGTCTTAGTAGGAGGAAATTTGGTATCTTGGAAGAGCAAGAAACAGAATATGGTTGCTCGATCTAGTGCAGAAGCAGAATATCGAGCAATGGCTATGGTGACATGTAAGCTAATTTGGATCAAACAGTTGCTCAAGGAGTTGAAATTTGGTGAGATTAGTCAGATGGGACTTGTGTGTGATAATCAAGCTGCTCTTCATATTGCGTCAAATCCAGTGTTCCATGAGAGAACTAAACACATTGAGATTGACTGTCACTTTGTCAGAGAAAAGATACTCTCGGGAGATATTGCTACAAAGTTTGTGAAGTTGAATGATCAGCTTGCAGATATTTTCACCAAGTCTCTCACTGGTCATCGTATTAACATATGTAACAAGCTCGGTACATATGATTTATATGCACCAGCTTGAGGGGGAGTGTTAGAATAGTTATGTAACCCTAATCCCATATGTATTAGGAGTTTTATATATATATATATATATATATATATATATATATATATATATATATATCNGATGGACCAATGGAATGTACTGAAACATTAGATTGAATGGATAAGGATCAGAAATGGGATTCTTTGTATCCGGTGCAGTTATACCATACTCCTTTATCTTGGCACCAAGCTCCTCAGCAGAGAGATCATCCAAGACAGCAAGAATGTGCTTCAACTCTGCGGCCTTTTCCGAAGACAGGCTGAAGTCCTTCTCAACTTTTTCTTTACAGTAATCCTTGAGCAAATGATCAGCTCGATAACATGTTCCTGTCTTCTCGTCCTTAACCATCAGATCAGTGAACTTTTCAACGTGACCTGATGCCTTAAGGACAACCTCAGGGGTCACACATGGGCAGTCAACTTCCAACATGTTCTCCTCCAAAACAAAATGCTGGAATGTGACAAGAAAACCAAAGTCTAAAAATCATGAGAAGGTGAATTTATATTTTTAAAATATCCCAAAAGCATTTTCTTCCTTTTATGGTATGTCAGGTCACCTGATCCAGTTATTCTGAGATCCTTGATTTACTTTTAAAGAATGAGCCCCTTTGAAGTTGTTTTCAACTGGTCTTTAGACCTAGTGATTCTAAGTAAGGAGGTTTGTTTGGTAGGAAGGTGTGATGCACCACTTAGATCCATCATGGAACTATGATTACCTATCTTGTTCAAGTTTTTTTCCTTTTTTTGATCAAGTGGTTATCTTGTTTGAGTTAATTTTTTTTGATGAAATAAATTGTTGTATTAAAAGGCATCAAGAAGATGCAAGAGTACAAGGAGCTACTTACAAGAAGTAGATATACAGAAAACAAAAGTGAGTTGCTAGCCCCTATACAATGTCTCAATCTAGGACAAGAGAGCTAATAAACTCCAAAAAGTGTTCAGTACTAACTATTGAGGACAGCTTTGTCCAGCAAAAAAGATTGGTTAAACATTTGGCTTTAATAGAGTGGTTTGGAGTTGAGATGCCATCAAAACATCTTTTGTTTCTCTCATTCCATAGACACCAAAAAATAACTGCAGGTATCATAATCCAGATCTTTTTGATGGATTTATCAACTGGCCACAGACTCCAACTCAAGTACGCGTCTCTCAGATTTTGTGGCATGACCCACCTTATCCTAAAAATACTATAGAACATGTTCCATATATCAATGGCTACTGGACAGTGCAGAAGGAGGTGACTGATAGATTCCTGGTTCCTCCTGCATAGATAACATCTATTAACCAGTTGAAACCCTCTTCTGTTGAGATTATCTTGAGTTAGGCAAGCTTCATGTAGGGCTGTCCAGTTGAAACCAATGACTTTCACTGGTAATTTGGTCCTCCATATCAGCTTCCAAGGCCATGCATCAAGAACTTGATTCCGAGAATTGAGTTGCCTATAACATTCTTTGACAGTGAAACTACCCTTACTGCCCCATCTCATCATGTCCGAAGCATTCCCATCAATATTGTAAGCCTCCACTTTGGCTATCATTTCCATCAAGCTTTCAATCTCCCAGTCTTGAGCTGCTCTTCTAAAGTGCGCATCCCAAGTATTGGTAGTTCTTTTTTGAGCAATTGAGGAGTTCTTGTCCAGGGCAAAGTGGAAAAGATTAGGATAGTCCTCCATAAGTTTAGAATTGTTGAGCCATTTATCTTTTCAGAATTTGATGTGAGCTCCATTGCCCGGCTTGAAATGGACATTCTGGAAAAATTCATTCCCTAACTTGCTAATATACTTCCAAGGTCCTACTCCGTAGGGGGCATTGACAATTTTAGTGCTCCAATTATCCTTTTCCCCATGTTTAGCTTTGATCACCTTCTTCCAAAGACTTGTATCATCTGTACCATACCTCCATAACCACTTCATTAGCAGACACTTATTTTGCATGACAAGATCTCTGAGCCCCAACCCACCATTGCACTCGGGCTGCACGACTTTGTCCCACTTTACCAGATGAAATTTGTGAGAACTGCTATTCCCCTCCCATAAAAAGTCTCTCCTTAATTTGTCCAGCTTTTTTAGCACCTTTATAGGGATGGGAAACAAGGACATTAAGTAAGTAGGAATACTGTCAAGTACACTGCTAATAAGAGTTATTCTTCCCCCCATAGATAGGTATTGCAACTTCCAGGAAGCCAACCTCTTCTGAAATTTTCCACAACTCCATTCCAAATCTCACAGCTTTTGAATTTAGCTCCCAGTGGTAGGCCCAAGTAGGTACTAGGTAGTGTTCCAATACTGCACCCCATGATTTCTGCCAGGTCCTCAATGTTAAGTACATTATTGACAGGGTAGATGATACTTTTTAGTTTGTTGACATGTAGACCTGATAAGGCTTCGAAGAGAAGTAGTGTAAGATTCAAGTACATGATTTGAGTTCTATTTGCCTCACAGAAGATCAGAGTATCATCTGCATACAATAAGTGTGATATAGTAATAATGTTCCCAATGTTTGTACCTACATTGAATCCCTGAATCCACTGCATTTGCCTGGCCTTTTCAATTATTTTACTTAAACCCTCCATGGCTAGTATGAACAAGAAAGGACAGAGTGGATCCCCTTGCCTTATACCTTTTTGAGGAGAGAAGAAGCCCACAGGACCTTTGTTCACTAAGACTGAGTACTTGACGGTAGAGATGCAATACTTGATCCACTTCAACCATTTGTCCCCAAACCCCATTTTCCTCAAAATAGAAAGCAAGTAGGACCAATTAAGTTGATCAAATGCCTTCTCTATGTCCAATTTACACATCACACCAGGTTCCCCATTTTTAATCCTCCAATCCAAGACCTCATTAGCAATTAGAGCTGCATCGGTTATCTGTCTTTGCTTGATGAATGCATTCTGGTGAGAAGACACCTTGCAGATATTGCTACAAAGTTTGTGAAGTCGAATGATCGGCTTGCAGATATTTTCACCAAGTCCCTCACTGGTCCTCGTATTAACTACATATGTAACAAGCTCGATACATAGATTTATATGCACCAGCTTGAGGGGGAGTGTTAGAATAGTTATGTAAATAGGAGTAAATAACCCTAATCCAATATGTATTAGGAGTAGGATATGTTGTGTATATATATAGGGCTCATTGTATCGTGTTTTAACACAAGTTAATAATATCAATATTATTTTCTCCCGAGCTTTCTCACAAGGACTGTCCAAGGTGAACGCCCAATCCCATTTGGCACTGACATATTGGTGAGACGAACGCTATGTTCCATGCCACCTCACTGCCCCCAACCCACTTAACCCCTTCACCTTCACTTCTTCCGTAAAAGAATTGAAGCCTAGAGACTTGGACTTATGGTCATGCGAAGATGGGAGAAATGAATGCAATTCAAGTTAGTTATATGGATGCAGAAAAGAGCATACGGCCATGAATTTTTTGGTGCATTAAAGATCAGAACCACATTTCTGTTTGTAAATTTTATCAAGCAATCATCTATGGCTTTTGAGCTTTATTGTTGGAATTGAAAAGAAAGGACAACACATATTTATTTGCTCCTTCAATTTGTCCCGATATGCAGCAGAGCAAAGCATACGCTACTACTTTCTCCTTCTTGTAGCTTTGAATCTTCGTAATAATTTGCGCCTTGTGAGATCTTCGCTTACTGAGCTTTATCTGTGTTGTTTTCCTTTTATGTCTTCTACAGAATCTTGAAATCTTCAGTCAAGAACCTCAGAATCTTCAGTCACGAATTATTTTTCCTTTCTGAATTTTCTCATTGCATCAAATAAATATATTGATTTTCTCCATTCTTCATTCCTTTGTCCAGCTACTCCATGTCTTTGTATGTGTTGTTTATCTGTGAGAACTCAAACGTCTCATCTTTTCTCCATTGGTTCTCCATGGATCTCACATTTTCGATCTACTAATTTTGTAGTTCAATTTAACCATGGAAATGTTACATTTTCATATATCTGAAGATAAATATTTTCCCAAAGAGTCCTATTCAGTAGTTCTTCTGGGGAAGAAGCAGCAGAAGGAAAGGGGTAAAATGGGTTGGGGAAGGTGAGGTGGCATGCCATGTGGCATCCATCTCACCAAAATGTCAGTGGCACATGCGATTGGGTATCCACCTTGGACAGCCCCAACGAAGAAGGCCTATATTTGAACCACTTGGATTATATCAGGGGTATTTTTACTTCAAAGTATAATGGAGGACAAATATGACCTTTTTCCTTAAAAAATAATTTTCCAACAAACCCGGAGAATGATATTTCATGAGTAAGCAAACATACCAGTTCATCGACTGACCAGAAAACAGCAGTCTTATGACAGCAAAGGCAACTGGAAAAACAATTCCTAGCAAAATTGCAAAAGTATGATACAACATTCCTGCAAAACAGTCAAAAAAACCATTTTAAACTAGCAGGAAAGAGAAACAAGCTTTTAAGACCACTCTTCCAACCAAAGAGAGAATTGAAGTATGTTTGTTACCTTTAAGAAAATCATTAAAGGTTGCAAAACAACAAGTCAGTCCCCAAGTCGGAAAGCGTAAGAGAAGTGGCGCAAGAAAAAAGATGACAAGAGGAAAACTGTGAAGTAGCATAGCTTGCTCTCTTGAATAGTAAATCTACAATGAGAAGAACAATAGGTACTCATAGTTAATTACCCACTTCATAAAATAAATAGATAAGATCTTAATCTTAAAAATTGTTGGCTTACCAAGAACCATGACAAGTAATCAAAGAAAACTGCATGTTCATTGTCAGATGTATAGACAGCAGATCTTAATCTCCTCTCATGTGCATTTTGCAGGTTAGATGAGTTTGTGAAGGCTCTGATTATTCTTAATAAATTGTCTCCACGTGCTTGAATGCTTCCAGGTCTAGGTAAGAAAGAATTCTCATGTATTAGAGGAAGCATCCAAGTAGACGCAATAGTCTTAAAACTTCAATTTGGTGATCTATACCAAAACAGCAATTATGATGCATACAATAGTCTTTCAACAGTATCAGATGCGGTATGATAAAAATAACCACCAAGGAGGAAGATAATATCCAGTCCAGGAATATCGCCAAAATCTTGGGCAAACATTCTGTAGTCTGTATCACCAGGAATAATACCAAAAATATCCTACAAGCACATTGGAAAAGAGAAACTTTCAACTCCATATAAATCACTCACTGCTTAAAGGAACTGGTAGATAGATATCAAGAAAATGAATGTACTAGATAATATTCTGTGAACCTGAGCTGCACTATTCGCCATAGGATATAGTGCTGATTGAGCATAAACATATGAAGGCCAGGACCCAGGTCCAGATTGGCAAACTAAATCTGTCAATCCAACAATGCACAGCAGGTGAAATTTTAAAGATATCAATAGCATAGAGAAGGAAAAATTTGAGAATTAAATGCTCAACTTAAAAAAGTGTACAAGTTAAGAAAAGTGAAAATGCTCTCGGGCACTTTCCCTGAGACTCTTCTCTTTCCTACTTCCTAGGATTGCAGAACAACCTTTTCCAGCATCGTTCAGTACCGGAAAATTCCTCTTTTATTCCTATACCCTGTTTTCACCCACTGCGATTACTGATATACTAACTTTTCTTTTAATTTTCTCTTAAATGGAAGTTATTTCTTATGGGGGTAAACAGAATTTATTTTAAGGCTGGCTTCAAATCTTTTGATATCACCAGATGGACCTCCAACAGAGATACATGGTTCGATTGGGTGGAGAGAAGTCGCAATGTGATGGGACGCTCCACGCTAAGCAAAAAGACTATGGAATGGGTCTGTAATGTACTCAAAGAAGCCTCAAATGACCAGAAGAATGTGGTAGGGAGATGGAAGAATAAGGACAGACTAACTGAATCTTTCTGTACTAGGAAGTACAATGACCATGGGAGATATATGAGTATATATCACTGAAGAGAGACAATCGTGAGGTCATTATGATCCCTGAACTTACTGTGAATGCAGGAAGGAGAGACATTGTATTTAAGATAGAAAGGTTTATTAAATGCTCCTCCCAACTGAATTTCAAAGGGCCACCCAGACTCTATGAAGCAAACTACCCTTATGCCACAGCAGTACAAGAGAGTAAATGGCAATCAAACAACCTTCGTGAAGCAGTTGTCAGCACTAATAAAGGAGACATCATGATCTTGGAGCCAAATGGGATGAAGGAGAACGGACTTTTAACAAGATGTATCATTGGGTACTTTGGGAAGGAAACAACTGAGAGACCTACACTATCAGACATTCGGAGATGGGCCTGTATAACGTGGAAAACAGCATTTGGGGTGAATATGTATGAGACGACTGAGAATCTATTTCTGTTTGAGTTCCCCAACAGAAACATAGCTGAGCAGATTCTCCAAGGAGAATGGAGTTGGAAGAAATTCAAGCTTTATCTCGAATGGTGGAATCCCATCACTGACTGTCTTTCCAACTCCATATCTGTCAAAACTACCTGGATCAGAGCTATGGGAGTTCCCCTACATCAGTGGTCACAAAAGATATTCAAAGAAATAGGAGTTCTTTGTGGTGGGTGGAAAGCTACGGAAGAAGAAACAGAACTCAAGAACAATCTCAAGTGGGCAAGAATTCAAGTAGCAGGAGATGGCTGGAATATACCAAATGAGGTAGTCATTGAGAGAGGGGGGGTCAAATTCTTCATACCAATATGGGCTGAAAGACAAACTCGCTTTTAACTAAGGCCAGAGATTTCCAGGGAGATCACCGGAGATAACACAGGATGGAAGCCTCTGAAGGACCGCCGGACAAAGTTAACCTACGAGGTAGAAGGGGTACAGGATAGCCTTTTCGCTGTAGATGGGACGGTGAGGGCCACGTGGGGTGTACTGAGTTTAATGCCAAAAATTAAGGGAAAGCACGTGCAATGCAGGAGGATGGTTTGGGAGAAGTAACATTATTTTTGGGCCAGTCCACCGAACCCAGCAATGGGCCAGGTATTATAAAAACACTTGGGCCTGACTGTGCAGCCCAAGTCATTATAAATGAATTATATCTTGAGCCCACAGAGGTCATAAGGTTCGACTCTTTTCTAGAAGAGACGAAAGCTGTTTTGCATTCAGAACAAAAAGCCAACCAGGAACACCAACAGAGGTCCTTCGACGTAGTTGCAAACTTGGGGAGTTCACCACATGCAGAGATGTTGATGCTCGAGGAGCCAAGAGAAGAAGAAGGGAAAGGTTTACAAGAGATGAAGGCAGACTATGCTCTGTCCTTAATCGTAATTGGGGAACCTCTTTTCGTGAGCCACCACTTTTCGTGAATGTTGCTTCAGCTCTGCTCTTTTCGTTCTAGTTATGACTTCTTCATTGAGCTGTGTCTCGTATCAATTGTATTCAATTCCTAGTGCTCAGTGATTTAGCCTTTTAGTTGGTTTTATGTGATGTTTTGACATCATAGTTGTACTTCGTTGTCGCACTTTATTATTATCAGACAACTTTAGTAGAATTCTTTCTTTTTTATTTCTATGCTTTTAGCTGTTTTAGTTTAGAGGGTTTGCCTAACGGTTAGTGGCTCGTTTGAGTACTCTATCTTCCAGATTTGGGTCGTGACACTCTCGGCTGTCGCGTGGTTTATGAGTGAGATAGCATAGGCTAGCATTTAGGCATTGTCCGTGATTGCAGAAGTTTTATCGCAACTTCGGTGAAGAACCTAGACTGGTATATATAGCTGAGTTTCGCGAACCAGCTCCATTTCTTAACCATTTTTGGAGTTCTAAGCTATGGGAATTGGAGATTTGAATTGGGTATTTACGAACTGAGTTAGGTAAGTCTTCTAATCATCTCCTTGAGTTTATGTCATGTTTTTTCTTGAAGATTTACCATTAAAACATGGGATGTAATGGTAGGAACTGGGATTTTAGGTCTAAATCCTGGAAACAGTAAATTAAGAATTTGAGCATCTAAACGGACTCCAAATGAAAATCTACGCATAGATTTGGACTCCTTATAGGCAACCCGAAGTTGACTTTTGTTTCAGGGCTTGACCGCATTGACCCGGGGTTGACGTTTTGGCATGACTTTGACTTTGACAGAGTCTTAAATTATAGAATTGGGTGCAATAGACTTTTTTAACATCGTTAAGTAATGTTTTGAATAGATTGGAATCGTCTGGTGGATTTCAGACGTGGAAAGGTTGTTCTTGAAGGCTAAGCTGAGCTTAGAGCCTTAGACCGAGGTAATTTAATACTTTGACCTTAATGGGCGAATTTTTCCCAAACTAGAACTGCTTTACATATACTATGTAAATGAGGGTACCGTATATATGAGGTGACAAGTATATATGTGGATATCGGGGTAATATACGGGAAATATTCTGTCACTTGGTTGTGCACGACTTGCTATATTTGTGATATGATTAATATGTATATGCTAGTATAATTTTATATGCATTTGTTATATGCTAGTATAACATTATAGAGTTCATGAATGTTGATTTAAATGGTTTGGAATGTTTTGTCATGCCAGTATGCATATTGAATTGCATATGTGAGTCACATTGGATAGGTGGGAATGTGTTATGGGTATGTGAACTCGTATCTGCTATTGAGATATTAGTTTTGGCCATGTGGACTCACATTCTGGTTATCACATGTGTATTAGATCCTCCCTCGTGACCCACTAGTCTTGATGAACCACAGACGGTGTGCGCATAGGTTTGAGTGATTAAACATGTCGATTTTGAGTAAAATTAGAATCTTTATCATGCATAAACAATATTGTGCATTTTGATTAATGCTGGACTTATGCATATTGTTCTTATGAGTTATGTGCCTATTACGGTTGAATATAATACTTGCCCGGGTTATGTTTTAATGACTACTTTCTTAATTGACTATTGCCATTGCTTCGTGGGAGGCGGTCAATGATTACTCGCCCTCTTTTTCCCTGCAATCTATATGTAAATTCGAATCCAAGTACTAGCGGGACCCGTGATTGAGATTCCAGCATTTATATCAGTATCAGTGGTGAGTTTCTTGCTTCTTGCCTAGTTTGCAGTGGCTTGGCTTCTCTTGTATCTTTATGTAGTTTGTATTCAAACAGTTGGTGTACTTTTCTACTTCTACAGGCTCATGACTTAGTTGGAACCCAGTCCTGTATTATGTTGATTTATGTGTTGTATCAGATTTATTAGATTCTAATTATTATATTATTGTCCATATTATAATTTATATCTGATAAATGTTTATGGTTCGCTCAACATGAGGATGTTGGGTGCCAATCACGGCATGGGTAATTTGGGTCATGACAAAATGTTCTCCATAAAATGATTCCAGACCAATCCTTCTCCCTTACCAATCAATTACTTTAGCATTTGGCAACAAAAAAATTAATGCTTTACATTTATCCCTATGCTTTCATTCATCCCTCTTTACAAGATTGTAATAGCAGGAAGCAAGTAATAAACATGCCACAATAGTATGAATGCAGGCACCTACCAAAGCCTCCGGTCCCAGAAGCTTCAATATCTATAAATGCTCCAACCGTCTCGTTCCATCTATGCGTGGTTATGAAACCGTGCGAACCCTGAAAAACTCATCAGCAAACTCTTATGTTAAACTTGCTTATATTTCAAATCATCTACTGATCTACGTGAAGCATTCTGAACACCAACAATGATAATTGAGATAAGCACAACTCCTTGAGCTCGTGGAAGCGATTCGCACAACTTCAGATATCAAAAATCAAAGCAGCCATGAGACATTAGTAACTAAAGACAAAATGTGTTTACAGTATGCTCAAATGCATGTGAGTGTTTACTTGAACCACAATCCAAGATTGTAAATCTGGTCCTATTGATCAGAGAAGATATGCAAATAAGATCACAGTTATCAAGGAACAGAAGGAAGAATTAAAAAATTGAAGGAGGCAGAACCTTATCGTTCTCTAAATTTTAGAACTTTTGAATTTTGATCATGACATTAAACATAACCAGAGGGCCTATCATAAGCTCTATGAAAAACCTTATATCTCAGAGGTAAAGATGGGGTTGCACTAGTAGAACTTGGAAAGCCCTTTATCAATCACACGAGAAATAATTCTCATATTTAAAATGACTCTCAAAGTTGACAAAAGAACCTAGCATCAACATCATGCAATCATCATATTTAGCACCATGTCCATATAACAATAAGGAACATCTCATATTAAACATATACTTTAAAAGTATGATATGAATAGTACCAAAAAGCATTCCAGATACTTCAGAGAATCTATTTAAGAATACAAATCTGTGTTTCTGAGAATGTATATTCATCACATCTTTCACTGTACAGAAGACTAAAGAGTACAAAGGACAGAGATAGGAGAGATCAAACTCAAGGATAGTTGAAATACTGCCGAATCACATAATTTTCTAAGAAACATGCATTAGGAAAATGGGACGAAAAGGAAAAGTAGCACCTACTTCCAAGAACTACAATACAAAAGCATAGTTCATGATTCTTTAAGTCCATTAATCTTGATAAAGGAGATCTTACCAGCATAAACAGTTCTTCAGCTCCATTAAATAGAAATATAACTGGTCTAGGTGGAATCCAGCCAGAATCTATAGAGAGTCTTGCTAGCTCGAGCATCGATGCTGTTTAAGATTCAAAATAGATATGACCAACTATGAAATCAGCCGGAAAGCATAGATCGAAATAAGATATACATACCAACACATGAACCACAATCACCAGCTCCTGGAGAACCAGGTGCAGTATCGAAATGGCCATTGACCAAAACTGCAGTATCAGTTTCTCCTGAATCCACTGATGAGATTCTGAAATTAATTTTGGTTACTTTCAGTTTCATCTATTAAACATATTTAAGGTGTTGTGAATTAAAACTTAAAATCCCCTTCTATTAGGAATACGAGGTTACAATCAAATATCAATAACAATTTGTCAACTACTCTCCAAAAGATGTCTTTAACTTCCTCAGGCTTTTCATAATTGGAACAAGTGAAAGGCACTTCTTTCAAAAGCAAAAGATCCATGACTCCTATAGATGAGCTCCACCAAAAAGAAAATCCTTTAATTGATGAAATGAGGGAAAGAATTAGGAACTAACACTCACTTATCTTTATGGTTTAAGAAATTAGACAAAAGAAAAGAGAAAGGAAAAAAACCAATAAAAGCATTGGTGGATAATGAAATGTACAAATATATAAGATTGTATGTCACATTCATGTAGGTTTACCTCATAACGATATTTTTATGATTTCTATAAGCCAGAGAAATGCCATGCCATAAAAAGACCATGTTGAAGGAGCCATTAACAATGGTCTCCTCTATCTCTATTCTGCAAGAATAAGAATCTCAAATTGTTAGTTCAACAATTAGGAATTACCTGAAGATGACTTCAACAAGTTAAAGGAGTTTCCTAGTAAGACCGACCTAATACCAGGCCGAGCTCGCTCCTTCATCATTTCCAACTGTGTCTTAATATATTGAGCTGCTTGTTTCAAACCTTGACGCCCTTCCTATACATAAAAAGTTTACCTGCACGCATTATATCTTAAAGAAGACAAAGAAAGAGAATAAAGGATAACCCAAATCTATGCAAGCGTCTAGTTCAAATTCTAAAGCAAGAAAATAACAAGAATATATAGCATTAGCCATTGTTAACTACTGTGTTCGAAACAGAAACTAGAATGAACGAAATAAACTGGAAAACCGAATAAACATAAACATGAATTAATTGTTCTGAGCTACAGAATTCCTTGTGTATCCTTAAGGAATTTAATCCAGTCACAGTACCCGAGGTGATGGATTATTTCCTCCCAGGATTCAACGGATATACCTTTGTTAGAGTAGCGGTTCTTCAAACTACAACAAACTACGAACGCAAAGACCGGAACAAATCACACACAGACTCTATGATGTGTTTGGAAAATAATGTAGAAGTTTCAAAAATTAGTGAGTGAAATATGAGGCCATGCCTCGGTATTTATAGCGAACAAAAGGATGCGAAGGAAAAGGTGAACTTTAAATGCAACCTTTTTGGGGGTCTTTTCAGAAAAATCAGGTGCCTTTTCGGGAAAAACCAATTAACTTTTACGGAAAAAGTCACAAACTAAGGGTGTGTTTGGTACCCCGGAAAATAAGTGGTTTTATCACTTATTTTATCTTGTTTGGTTGGTGAGTGGAAGACTTTTTCCTAAAAATATTTTCTAGTGTTTGGTTAGAGAGTATATAAAATATTTTTAGGAAAATAATTTTTTATGCTACTCTCCTCGACCCACCTTCACTAAAATCATCATGTTTCCTGTACTCCTTCTCCCCTCCTCCGGACTCTATTTTCTTCAAGAATTTAATTATTCTTTTCAAAATTCACACAAACTCAAAGGAACTAATGTGCTACTTTACTTTTTCACACAAGAACAATGTTAAAATTTGAGCTCGATAACTAAAAAGAAAATACTTTATTTTGTTAAAAAAGAAAGTATCTTTTCTACAATATGAAAAGAAATTACTCATTTTGTTGAATGAAAGAAAATAATTTTTCTACATTATGAAAAAAAAATACCCAGTTTGTAATATTTTTCTACATCATCAAAAGAAAGTACTCGTTTTGTTAAAATGAAAAAAAAAATATTTTTTCTACATCACGAAAGAAATTACTTAGTTGTTGAAATGAAAGAAAATACTTCTACATCATGAAAAGAAAAGTACTCGCTTTGTTGGGAAAAAATACTTTTTCTATTTCAGGAAAAGAAAATATTTAGTTGTTGGAATGAAAGAAATTACTTTTTCTACATCATGAAAAGAATATACTCGTTTTGTTAAAGTGAAAGAAATGACTTTTTCTACATCATGAAAAGAAAGTACTTATTTTTTGAAACAAAATTCTTTTTCTATTCCAGGAAATGAAAATACTTAGTTTGTTATTGAAAGAAAATACTTTTTTTACATCATAAAAAGAAAGTACTCGTTTTATTGAAATGAAAGAAAGTATTTTTTCTACATTATGAAAAGAAAGTACTCATTTTTTAGAAAAAAATACTTTTTCTATTCTAGGAAAAGAAAATACTTAGTTGTTAAAATGAAAGAAAATACTTTTCTACATAATGAAAAGAAAATACTCGTTTTGTTGAAATGAAAGAAAATACATCTTTCTACATCATCAAAAAAAACACTCGTTATGTTGAAATGAAAGAAAATACTTTTACTATATCATGAAAAAATATACTCATTTTGTTGAAAAAAAAACTCTATCTACAACATGAAAAGAAAGTCTAAAAAAAAAATACTCTTAATAATAGTTCTATTTAGGGTGGGTGCTGGGCGGGGTTGGGGTGGGTGGGATGTGGTCGGGGGGAGGGGGGTTGGGGTGGTTTGGGGGTGGGGTGGGTTGGTGGGGGTTGGTGGACATGGGAAATAGGACGGAGAAGGTTGAATAAGAGTTTTGAAAAATATTTTCCCTCCTTTTGATAGGGAAAACATTTTCCTCCAATTGAAGGAAAATGAGTTGATAAGGAAAATGTTTTCCAAAACATTTAAGCCAACCAAACATAGGAAAATTGGAAAACATTTTCCGAAAAATGTTTTCCTTCATACCAAACACACCCTAAAATAAAAAATAAACAGAATTTATTAATCTATCAATCAGATCATTTGACCAAATCCTAATGCGAAGCCAAATCAAAAGCCGAGCCGAGCGAGGACGTGAGGGCTTCCCTTCTTCCCGGCCTTTTAAGCTAGTGTAGAAGTGTTTTTCAATATAAGCCCAACAACATTCTTCTCTTTATTTCGTATAGGACAACATCCCTTCATTACACATTCACACCTCACAAAACCCAACAGTCGTAAACTGAGCTACTAGTAGTACAGAATGCCACAAAAAGTTATTGTCCATGAAACCTTTTCTCCTCAAAATTTTCATTAGAAAATTCAATCCGGTGTTTGCTCAAATTTTTTGAACCTCTTTTCACGCAAAAACTGTTTTTTTAAGTTGTGGTTTGAGGGTAGTTTCCAAAGAATTGTTTTTGTTCTTCCAGCCACAAAACACTCATAAATCTTAGATTTTAAAATTTTAAAAAAAAAATGCAACTATCCAAACTCATCTCGAGTTCCACAAACTTTTTTTCCAAAAATAGTGTTCACAAAGAAAAGCCTTTTTCAAATGAACATGTGTTGCATTTGTTTCATGTTAATATCTCATGACTATCGGATTAATTAAGCAGACAAGGATTGAGGAATATAATTTCATCTCCCCCTACTCCATGCATTCTAAGCAGCAACAACAAAGCAATTGAATACTGATTAGGGCTGGCACAGTGCAAATACAGTATACCTGGCGACCGCCGATATCTTTAGACAAGACGCGAACATGCTCAACAGCTCTGCCCTCAGAGAAGCGATCAAGAGGAGCCTCCATCCCAAGTGGTGTGATGAACTTCATGTGAATGATGGAGTATACCAGCACCGATATCAATCCGTACAATATCCCCACACTAAACAGTATTCTGAATCCGGCTATATCACCGCTGCTCAGCCTCCACGCCATCACTTCTTCTTTTCTTCTTTGATACAGTACTCTAATCGTATACAAAGAACTAATCACAATACACCTGTGGATTTATGATAGTTGAACAAGACGAAGATAAAATTCGAATCGGACGACAAATCAATCATAGAGGAAGAATCAGGAAAGGAAATACGCTCGGACCTGCGGAGAGGTTTTCGTCAGAGTGTGGTATCTGCTAGAATTCGTATTTGCTTGTCCGGATTCGGCTCCTTCGGCTTCTCAATACTAAGGCATTAGGGAAAGGGGTTTTTTCATTCATATACAACATTTAAAACTTATTTACTAAGAGCATAAAAAAAAAAGGGAAAACGGCCAAATTTGTCCCTCTACTTTCATTTATCCACGTTTGTCCCTAGTTCTACTATTCGTTCAAATACGTCCTCACCGTTAAGAAAGTAGATAAATTTGTCCCTAACCCTAACAGAGTTCCAACGTGGCAGCACCCTTCTTTTTAACTGCCAACTAGGCAAATTTTCAATCCAAATTAAAAAGACCCATTTCTATTATCTAACCCGTGATTCGCTCATCTATGTTACCACCGACGAAGACCTCAAAAACATGATTGAAGAATACGACCGGGTCACAAAACGTTACGGGTCGTTTCTAGAAAGTTCGATGAATTAGAGAATTGTTCGTACACACGTTGAATAATAGGGGAAATTCGGGTTCTACAACAACTACAAATATGTTTTCTGAATCTTCATCCATAAATTGTCTTCTAGGTATTGACGATGATGTGAACTGTAATCTAAAGGGTGAAAAAATGTGAAATTAATTGCTCAAGATGTTCAGCCGGTGCCGGATTCTCCGATGGTTGAAACGACATCGTTTTTTGGTCGACTAATTCCACGCAGTCGCTTGCTAATTTGCCAACGATAAAGGTACTCGTCGAGGAGAATAATCCGAGGGTTGGGGAAGAACATTTTTCACAGTTAGGGGTTGGAGACAGCAAAGTGGATTCGTCTTTATCGCCGGCACCGGCTGCTCTGGTTTCCGTAGCTGTGTTTTTCAGTGTGCTGGTAGTGGTTGGTGGGGATTATGGGAGTCGTGTTTTTTCAGATGATGAGAGATCGAAATAGTATTGGTTATTGGAATATTGCTCAAACACAACTATGATAGCAACCTCCACAATTGCAGCAGCCAAGCCTTTTTCCTTCTGATTTGCCTCCCCCCAATTCAGTTTCTAGGTAAACAAATATAGCTAAAGAAACGGGTCAAATAATAGAAATGGGTCTTTTTAATTTGGCCTAAAAATTTGCCTAGTTGGCAGTTAAAAAGAAGGGTCCCGCTGCCACGTTGGAACTCGGTTAGGGATGAATTTGTCTATTTTCTTAATGGTAGGGATGTATTTGGACGGATAGTAGAACTAGGGACAAACGTGGATAATTTACTAAAGTAGAGGGATTAAATCTGACCTTTTTCCCTAAAAAAAATTTACTTTTTCCCGAAATCCTTGTTTGCTCATAAAAGTTTCAATTTTCACTTGAAAATGAATTTTGAAATTTTTTAAAAATTTTAAAAACTCCAAAAAGCTATTTTTCAAAATTTTCACTCAAATTACTCATAAAATTTCAAAAATAACCCAAACTAATATTCATGTCCATATACAACTCTAATTTTCAAATATCATTTTCACTTGAAATTTTTTTTTACTTTTTTTTGGAATTTTACAATTCTTATGTCCAAACGCCCACTAAAATTGTCCCAATCAGTATACTACCTGTCCTAAACAAGATTTCTTACAATTTATATACAATCTATTATTAGTATCCTAAATTAGGGATACAGTTACATTATTTTCCTTTTTTCTCTTCTCTCTCCATATACAATCCATTACTAATGCCTTAAGTTACGAGATTTAATTATATTCTTTTCCTTTTTCCTCAACTTGTTCTATAGTGCTTCATCGGATTGGACGTAAGAGTTAATTTGTATTGATGAACTGGATAAAACAATTCGGATAATTACTTGGTGCTTGATAATTGGACTAATCAAAAATATTATTCTTCCTTAAATGATAAAATTTATGACATTCCAAATGTCAAGATGCATTACAATCTTATACCATAGGCATGGCATCAATACTCTTCTCAATACAAATTTGATATATTCAAAACAATATATAATTAAAACAAATTTTTTATAACTAATTATATATTATACAACTTATTTATAACTTATCTTCAACTTTCATACATCAGTTTTACCTAGTTAAACAACTACAACATCATAAGCCTAAATATATTTTTATACAAACATGTTTTTTGTATATATTTTATATATTGTGTGTTCTTCTTCTTCTCTCAAATTTCAAAACTTTCTCTCTTGATACAATTTTGATAAATATCAATAACTTTATGTAAAAAAAAAGTATTTATAACTTAGATACAAATTGCATAAAACGACTCATACATTATACGGCTCTTTTCAACTTTCATATAATATTCAAATAAAAAAATATAATTACAATGGAGCACAACTTAAATACAATTTACATCAATTATAATACAACTTTAATACATCTTCTAGTTTCAATCTGAAAATTCATCCATAATCAACTCTAATATTCATCAAACACCCTCAAAATTGATATATAAACTACAAGAATATTTCCAATCATTTGCAACAACACCCAATCAAAATAAAAAATAATTTTAAAAAATCGAATTTCAAATCAAAGTTTCGAATTTGAAAATTCATCCAAAATAAACTCTAATCTTCACCAAACACCCTCAAAATTGAGATATAAACTCCAAAGAATATTCCCGATCGTTTGCAACAATACCAAATTAAAATAAACAATAATTTTAACAAATCGAATTCAAAATCAAAGTTTCGAAGCTTTTGATGGCTTTCAATGATCGGCGGGGCAACGAACAACGACTGGGTCGATGGTGATAAGCAATGACATCAAACCCATTATTGAATTCTCTGGGGGGGAAAAAAAGAAAAAGGAGATAAGAAAATAGAAGAGAATAATAGATATCCAAATAAGAAGAAGTCAGGCAAAAAAAAAGAAAATTGGGAGAGGGAGAGAGAGTGTGTGTGTGTAACGACCCGCCCCGGTCGTTTTGAGCAATTGCACTTCACTCGATTGTTTGAGGGCATGAGTATCTCCGTATGATGTATTATGACTTACGTAAATCGTCGATTTTGGTTTTCAGGATAATCGAAGTAGATTTGGAAGAATGATTCTCAGATTCAAGCTTTAAATTTGAAAGGTTTGATCAAGTTTTGACTATTTAGTATTTGACCTCGGATTGGAATTTTGATGATTCCGTTAGCTCCGTTAGGTGATTTTAGACTTAAGGGCGCGTCCGGATTGTATTTTGAAGGTCCGTGGTGGAATTAGACTTGAATTGGCGAAATTAGAAACTTGGTGATTTCCGATCGGCAGTGGAAAATTGGATATCAGAGTCGGAATGGAATTTCTGGGAGTTGGAGTAGGCTCGACGTGCGTGCAAAATTTCAAGTCATTCGGAGGTGATTTGGTAGGTTTTGGCGTTGTTTGTGAAATTTAGACGTTCTTAGGCTTGAATCCGAGCGTGATGTGGTGTTTTGATGTTGTTTGAGTGATTCGAAAGTTCGACTAAGTTGGAATGAGGTTATGGGATGTGTTGGTATATTTGGTTGAGGTCCTGAGGGCCTCGGGCGAGTTTTCGGGTGGTTATCGGATCACTATTTGGATTTGGAAGTTGGAAATATCTGGTATCTAATGTTGGAAAGTTGCAGGTCTCGGATCTTGGGAGTGCGGTCGCATTGGGGATTTCGTGGACCGCGGCAGAAATTCTGCGGCAGCGGGGAAGGCTGGTGCGAACAGCGGAAGAAGGGACGCGCCCGCAGGAACTGGAGGCGTTCGCGGCCGCAGTGAAAATCCTGCGGATAGCGGAGCGGCGAGCGCGATGGCAGTGGTTTTTGGCGGTCAGCGAGATTTGAATCAGAGGGGTGCACTATAAATACGAGATTCAGGGTTTTATTTTCATATTTTGACCTAGAGAGCGCGGGCTTTGGCGATTTTTCGAAGGTTTTTTAAGAAATTCATTTGGGTAAGTGATTCTAACTCGGTTTAGGCTAAAATACATGAATATATCATGGAATCCATCATTTGATTAGAGATTTGGGATGAAAATTGGGGAAAATTTGTGAAACTTCATAAAATGAACTTTTGAGATTTGAAAGCCGATCCGAAGTCGGAATTGAGTGAAACTAGTATGGTTAGTCTCGTAATCGAGTGGGTCGTCGTATTTTGTGACTTTGGTCGGATTTCGAGACGTGGGCCCAGGGGCCGGGCTTGAGCCAAATTCGGGATTTTGGTCTAATTTGATAATTTTCATGTGGAATTCATTCCTTTAGCGTATATTGATGATGATACACTTATTTTGGTTAGATTCGTGGCATTTGGAGGTCGAGTCGAGAGGCAAGGGCATCGCGGGTTAGAGTTTTGTCCGGTTTGAGGTAAGTAATGATTGTAAATCTTGTCCTGAGGGTATGAAACCCCGGATTTCACACTGTTTCATTATTTTGAGGTGACGCACATGCTAGGTGACGAGCGTGTGGGCGTGCACTGTTGGGTATTGTGATTTGGTCCGTCCCGTAGCAACTATTAAGTTGCGTATTTGACTGAAAACTATATGATACTTATGTGTTTTGGAAAGGATTTCTATAATTTGGGCTGAATGCCGTATTTGGGCCTCGTGCCAAAGCTGTTTGGACCCTTAGGAGCCTTTTCTTATTACTTCCTCACTGTTTTGATTTAAGATCTGTACTCACTCATGCTATGTTTTACTGATTTCATAACTCGGTCTTTATTACCCGTTTTGATGCATATAAAATGTTATTTTGGGCTGAGCACCTTGTTTTTACTGATAGTCCGAGTGGCTTGAGAGGTTTATGACTGAGTAAGGCCGAGGGCCTGTTCTTGTGAGAATATTTATGGGATCGGGCTGCACGCCTGTCACGCCCCAACCTCGGGAGGCGCGACCGGGCTCAATCGAGTGAACCCAACTGAGCAAGCCTTATCAAACACTTTATACCCAACTCAATGTGATTAAGGGATCCGGTTTCCGTTTAATTAGACAATAAGAGGTGTTGTAAATTCAACGTTGATAGTTCATTTTACATCATAACCTTAAACCGTAGTTAGGTTCCATGTTTTCCATACAGTTACAATTTTAAAGAAAGCAAGTGTTCGGAGTTACAACATAGTTCATAGACCCATCCAACACCCATAC